GCAAAAGAAGGGGACAACAGAGAATGAGGTGGCTGGATAGAGTCACCGAAGCAATAGGCATGAGCTTAAATAGGACTCCAGAGGATAGTAGAGGACAGGAAAGCCTGGAGGAACGTTGTCCTTGGGGTCGCAATAGGTCAGACACAACTTTGCAACTAACAACAATATAGGATGGTGTTTTGTTTGGCTTTTTCAACTTTCTGGTCTAACCTAAAGCTATGGGAGACTTGTCTCCCAACCAAATATTAAGCTGGTCTGGACTTCACTCCCCACCTAGCATTTCAGAATCATGTATTCTTGCAAAAATCGTATATTTAAAGACTCATGCAGGTGGTGACATGTTCTTCTTTGAGAGGCATATTTTTCTGAGTGAACAAATTTGATAAAACTTACAAGAAAAAAAGTTGTCCTCAAAAAAGTTTTGTTTTGGAAGTTCCATCAGAAATAGTTGTAGTTTATTAGTTGGCATCTTCTCTTCCTTAGTTGTATCTATCTCTTCCAACTTATGACTATAACCATGTTGCTTGTATCTTTCAATCTATATTGTTTTTATTTGTTTCCTAGTATGATTGGATAGCTTATTAGTAACCTTGCCTATCACTAAGTGTTGTATCTTTTTATTCTTGATGAATGTATTTTATTCTCCTTATGTACACTGAGAGCATATACAAATTCAAATTCCTTGTGTGTCCAATCACACTTGGCCAATAAAGAATTCTATTGTATTCTATTCTAATCCCCCATGGTCCTTTTTTAAAAGAGAACCCCAAGGTGCGACAACAGAGGCAATTTGGCTACAGTCGAGGTGTCAACAGCCAAAATTAGTCACAGAAAAGTTTGAAAGAGTTGAGCAGGAACAGCGCGTTCGCATGCTTTAATGTATTTCCACAGTTCTAAAAAGCATCATCTCCTTTCTCCACTCGTCTTCATCCTTTCTTACACTCCTCATGTATGTGTTTGTGTGAATACACACACACACACCCCCCTCCAAACGTGGAAACAAAAATACAGCCTTTCACTTTGCCACCGCGATTTTAAAGCAACCCTGCTGTTATGTAAAATTTAGATCCCAGCCAAGCCGGGTTCCGCCCACGAACATCTCTAAAGTTTTCGAAAGTCCAAAGTTCGATAATAATTCGAAACCACAAGCATCCCCCTTTCTACGCTGGAGAAAGCCCAGATAATGTAGGGAAATGGGAGCGGCGGGAGATAAACTCGCCAGGCAGCCCCGCCGCATGAAAGATCCCATTCACCTCGCAGGTCTGACCATTTACCCCACGCGCGGACGGGAGCTGCTTGCGATACCCTGGCCGCGACGCTTTCCTGTTCCTGTTTGCAGAAGCAGCGTCCTCCACCTCCCCGCTTCGTCTATTGGCTCGCGGCGTGGCTGTTTCCACCCTTCCCTAACCACAACCCCTTCAATGGTCGGTGGCTCTGACGTTGCAAGCGGGGGTTGGCTCTTCCGAGTGTCTATAAGAGACCCTTCCAAGTCCGGACCGAAGCTCCGCCCACGACGTTACTCCTGACTAACAGCTGTTCGTGTGAACGCTCCCTTAGGCAAAAGGTTCCATCTTGGCTTTCTTTCTGGATCCTGCACTTCTATGTTACCTTGGTTCATTATCTACCCAAAGGTGGCTTCTAGATCACTTGGGGCACTGTGGAGCTTGCATTAATCAGGCTCAAAGCAGAAATGCCACATACCCCTCGCCAACGGTTGCAGCCTCGGGCTCCAATTTGGTCAGAGACCGAAACTCGAGATTTCCTTGCCCTCTGGGGTGAACTGCTGATTTTGAGGTGGATTGAAAACCGGCCACCCAACAGTGACATCTACGAGGACCTGTCGGCCCAGATGATAGCCAGGGGCCACGAGCGCAACGCTTCGCAGTGTAGGAACCGAGCCCGGGATCTGAAGCGAAGTTATCGGAGAGCCAAAGATGCCCAGATCTGTGCTGGAGCTGAGCCCGTGTCTTGCCGTTACTTCCAAGAGTTGGATCAAATGTTTGGAGGCGAAATGGATAGGGCCACCAACCGGAGCTTGGCCAGCATGGATGGATCCGTGCGGGTGGTGGTAAAAAGGGAGGATGCAAAAGACATGGAGGCCCAGGCCTCTGAGGAAGAGAGCAACCAAATGACGCCCCCAAACACCCTCTCAAGTATGGAGGCAGACACAGACACGGAAACCGAACCGAACGTGGGGATTACACGAGGGTTAGTGACAGTGGTAGATCCCAACGTGATTGAAAACACGATAGTTGAGGACGGTCCTGAAGAGAAGGTGGTGCCTTTTTGTGGGCAACCGGTTCCAGGCTGCAGTGAAGATGGGCACCACACTGCTACTGGTGAGCAAGAGCCATTTTTCTTCAATGGCATTTTGTTTTTCAATTGGTGCTCTTAGCTCTTCAGCCATCTCATAACCTTGGGTTTAAGTTAGTTGTGAGAACCTCTAAGAACTTGCCTGAGATACCACAAAGATAGAGATTGGCTCTTGGTTTGTAAAAAAAAAAAAGAGGGGGGGGGAGGGAGAGAGAGAAATGACCTGAATTTTCTCCTGATTAGAAGCCCAAATTAGCTACAGGTGGGGAGACAAGTGCAGTCTGAGATTTAATTTCAAAGAAGGAGCCAGGCTAGAAGTAAGTGTGGTAGATTCCCATCTCTACTTGCCAATAGAATCAAATGGACCTATGGGTTTTTTGATGTGCTTTTTTTAAAAAAAAAGGGTGTGTGTGGAAGGAAGATGTCAGCTATGTGACCAAGATTTTTTTAAAAAGCATTCAGCTTTCATTCTAGCATTCAGCTGTTCTCCCTGCGGTCTCTGTTCCACTTTGTCGAAATGGTGGTCTGTGTGATAGGTACATCATGAGCCAGTTTGATGTACTGGTTAAAGCACTGGCCTAGAAACCAGGAGACTGTGAGTTCTAGTCCCACTTCAGGCATGAAAGGCTGGCTGGTATGAATGACTTTGGGCTAGTCATTCTATTTCAGCCCAACCCATCTCATAGACTTGTTGTGGAGCAAAGAGAAAGAGGAAGTAGTTTTCCAACTTAAACTTTATCAATCAATCCCTGTTCCTGCAAAATAAGAGAATCCAGCAATCTCAGACCTTTGCTGCCCTGTTGCCGGGCCAGATAACTGGATGTTGTGGCCCGCCAGCAGAGCTGGCAGCAGATTCGGACAGTGAGGAGGTTGGGGAAGAACATGGGCCAGTCCTGGAGTCTGGGGAAGGCTCTGATGAGGACTCTGTGTCAGAGGTAGAGAGGGGACCAGAGCCGTATGCCAGTTATCAGCTGCCTTCAGAGGCAGACATCAGTGAGGCAGACGAACAGCTGGAGTCTGTTCCTAGTGTGCGCATGCGCAGAGTTGCCAGACGAAGGGAACAGCTAAAGAACAGGGATCGACTTGGGAGTATGGCTACAGGTGAATGGCCCCTCCCAGAGCAAATAAAAGAGAAGTTTGCTTCAGGCTCTTGGGAAGCCTAGGTCAGAACACTGGACAGATTCATTGAGCAGTAGATAATATTGTCCGGATGCCTAACCCATTTCCCCCTTAACAGGTAGAGGCAGACGAGAGAAGTCCTTTGGTCACCCCCTGACGACAGCAGAAAGGATGGCATCTATGCGGGAGAGGAAGAGGCGGTCGCACGAGGAGATGATGCATGAAATCATGACTGACTACAGGAGGACCTGGGAGACCATGGAGGCCCTTCACGAGAGAAGTGAAATCAACGCCGGGGACTTCCGTGAAGCAGTGCTGAGGGAAATGCATCTGGACAGAGAGGCTCGGACACGGGAGGCCCAATTAGACCGTGAATCCTGGGCAAGGGAGGCCCAGCTGGATAGGGAGGCCAGGATTAGGGACAACCATCTGGAGAGAGAGATTAGGATTAAGGAGCTCGGTATGATTGAAGCCGAGCTTCAGCGCACCAGGGAGATCCTCCATCCGATGGTGGATGCCGTGGCATCTGTGGCAGAGGCCTTGCGTGTGGCGAGCAGGATACTGCCACCATCTCAGCCTGCACAGAAAATGAGGGCTGGAGTCTTCTTGGAATCAAAGGAAAGCAAGTAATTTCGGTCTCTCTTTCAACTATAAAACTTTGGTCTTGAATGGGAAAGCTTTGTTGTCAGGAACGGGGTGGGGAGGTGCTTTCTAAAGTGCTAAATTCAGAGATTTTTAATAGTCATTTTATCTTGCCCAGTAAGATATTGAGCCAGTTTAACCTACTCTCTCAATTTGCTCATCCTGTGGAACAGAGAGATAATGTACATCGAGGTGGTTTCGTTTGGAAAAAGAAAAGAAACTTTAGAAAAGACTTTACAGTAGCTTATTGATAGGAGCCTTCCTTTTCCTTGCAACCAAATCCAGCTGACCGGATTTTATTTGGGGCTTTTTTCTGGACAGACTTTATCTGAACGCAGGTATTGGAAAACAAAATGCTTGCATATATTCACAATGGAGCATTGTTGTGCAGATAGTTTTCAACTTACAACAGTTCATTTAGCAGCCGTTTGAAGTTACAACAGCACTGAAAAAAGTGACACATGACAGTTTTTCACATTTACGCCGTTGCATCATCATCATCATGGTCACGTGATCAAAATTTAGACACATGGCAACTGATGCACAATTATGATGGTTGCAGTATCCCAGGGTCATGTGATTGCTTTTTTATGACCTTTGACAAGCAAAGTCAATGGGGAATCAAGATTCACTTAATAACTGTGTTATTAATATAACTGCTGTGATTCAATTAACTGTTCCAAGAAAGGTCATAAAATGGGGCAGACTTCCCATAACAATTGTCTTGCTTAGCAACAGAAAATTTGGGCTCAGTTGTGGTCATAAGTCAAGGACTCCCTATAGCAGCGATGGCGAACCTTTTTTGGCTCGCGTGCCATAAGTGGGGGGGGGGGCGCAGAGGGGTCGTGTGCGGGCGTGCCGCACCCATAATGCAATGTGTAATCCCCCCAGTGTGCCTGCGCGCACTACTGGCACGACCCCCCCATTTTTGCATCCTTTTATCACCCTCCCCAGGCTCCAGAGGCTTTATAGGAGCCTGGGGAGGGCGAAAACAGCCTCCCCCGCCCCTCCGGAAGCCCTCCGGAGGCTTCCCTGAAGCCTCCAAAGCAGTCAAAATGACCCTCCGAGCAAACTGGAAGTCACTTCCGGTTTGCTCGGAGGGTCGTTTTGAGTGCTTTGAAGGCTTCAGGGACCTTCAGGAGGCTTCCCTGAAGCCTTCGGAGCAGTTAAAACGACCCTCCGAGCAAACAGGAAGTCCGTTTCTGAACTTCCGGTTTGCCTGTAGGGCCGTTTTTTTGCGCTCCGGAGGCTTCAGGGAAGCTCATGAAGCCTCCGGAGGGCCTCCAGGGTGGGCAGGGCAGAGGAGGCTCTTTTCACCTTCCCCAGGCTCCTATAAAGCCTCTGGAGCCTGGGGAGGGCGAAAAATGGCTTTAAAAAAGGGTGAACTCAGCTAGCCAGCGGGTGCATGCGTGCCCTGACAAATAGCTCTGCGTGCCACCTGTGGCACGCGTGCCATATGTTCGCCATGACTGCCCTATAGTATACTGTATGTGTTTGTATCATTCACAACGATTCCTTCTCCAATTCTCATGACCAGGCTTCATTTTTCTACCAGTTAGTAAAGGTAAAAGTAAAGGTTCCCTTCGCACATATGTGCTAGTTGTTCCCAACTCTAGGGGGCAGTGTTCATCTCAGTTTCAAAGCCGAAGAGCCAGCGCTGTCCGAAGACTCCACTTCTGTGGAGTTTTCTCCACTTCTCAGTAGTTTTTTTCACTTCTGTTTAACATCTACATTGAAGCTGCTGGGTGAGATCATCTGTCACCATGGACTGAGATATCAATATGTTGATGACACCCATTTGTATATAACAGAATAATAGAGTTGGAAGGGACCTTGGAGGTCTTCTAGTCCAACCCTTTGCTCAGGCAGGAAACCCTATACCATTCTAGACAAATGGTTGTCCAAACACGTCTTAAAAACTTCCAGTGTTGGAGCATTCACAACTTCTGGAGGGAAGCTGTTTCACTGATTAATTGTTCTAACTGTCAGGAAATTTCTCCTCAGTTCTAAGTTGCTTCTCTCCTTGATTAGTTTCCACCCATTGCGTCTTGTCCTACCCTCAGGTGCTTTGGAGAATAGCTTGATTCTCTCTTCTTTGTGGCAACCCCTGAGATATTGGAACACTGCTATCATGTCTCCCCTAGTCCTTCTTTTCATTAGATATACCCAGTTCTAGCAACCATTCTTTCTAGAGTCTCAACATCTTTTTTACATCGTGGCGACCAAAACTGGATGCAGTATTCCAAGTGTGGCCTTACCAAG